CCTCGACACAGAGGGTGGTTTTCCCTCGACACAGAGGGTGGTTTTCCCTCGACACAGAGGGTGGTTTTCCCTCATCAGTGGTGCCAAATTTGCCACATCCAGCTTGGGTACATTTGGGATCTTACTCTTGAACTCCCACTCCCAGCTCCTGGATTTTCTGCTCGATGGCAGTTTCCACATCACTCTTCTCCAGGGAGTACTCCACAAAGAAAGCTTCCAAGATGAATGACACAAAGATACTGAAAGAAACAACAAGCAGAACTGAGACAGAATTTCCTCACTGGCACTGCCTGTATCAGCATGCCCAGGCTTATTTCCCAGTGCTCCATCCCCTCCAGGTCAGAGCAGCACCCGGTGGGGACAAGAATGCAGCAGATCCCACATCCCACCTGTCTCCAGTGGGTGACCCCAGGACCCACCAACAGTACCCTGACAGGGACAGATCCCCTTTTCATCTAAAGCAGAGGAAATAATCCCAAAAAACATACTTGACAATGATGATCACCATCACAATGTGGAAGGTGATGAAGTAGAGCTTGGCAGGCTGAGCTGTGACGCTGGCAAATCCATTGGCAAAGAGTAGAGTGGGAGTTAAGGGAAAAGAGGAAAGGAGGAGCTGAGGAAAGAACCAGAAACCCAAAACATTTCCCAAGAATCCAGCTGGGAATGTGCACCACAAAGGATATCGTGCCACTGGTTGACCACAGTGAGCTCCATGAGGACGATGAAGGATGAGGCGAAGTCATTGAAGTTGTTCTTGCAGTACTTCCCACGGGCAAACAAGGAATCCTTGAGAGCTGGATTCCCACATTCCAGGGCGTAAGGAGCATTCGAATTGGCTGGGAAGGACTGGATCTTCCCGTGGAATATCTCCATGCCAATGATAGCAAACACACAATACACAACCTGGGAAGAGAAACCCCATCACCTGCTTCTCCAGCAAGCTGCAAGCCCCAGGGCAAGCTCAGCATCCCAGCAGGTTTTCCAGTTTCCACAGGCACAGCAAGGGGCTGGAGGGCAGCACAGACTCCAAGAGCCCTAAGTCACCCAACAGCAATCACCAAGCAGGAATAATTAGCCAAGAACTACAAATACATGGATAGGAAATATTCCCAAATCACAACAGAAGCTCATTTTAGGAAATCATCTGAAATCCAGGTTTCTCATTCAGCCTCTTCCCCAAACCATGATTTAATTCCTTATGATGCAAAGCCCAGGCTGCCAGAACACTCCATGGATCCAAGGAGGACATCCTGATCCAGGAAAAAGCAGGAATGCAGCCCTTCACTTGCAGAATAGCCATGATTCAAATGGATACTTACAGTTCCAAGGGCCTGCCATCCAGGGAATTGCATTTATTCCCTTGGAAACAGCATGAGTATGAGATTTAAGACACACTTCCGTGAAACTGGAGTGCTTTGAGCCAAGACACCAGGATTTCTTACCAGAGTGAGCCCACCAAAAGTCAGCATGGTCGGGACAATGTTTATCAGGGTGTTCATGATGACCTGGAACCTACAGAGAGCCCACACTGGTTATTGTCACACCCTGGCCACCCATGCTCCCCACATCCCCAAAGAAAGCCTCCAGAGAGGCAGCCACTGGGCTCATCCCAGGCAGGCTGGGACAAGGCCTTGGGATGCTTTGTGGGGTGGCCATGGTCAGTGCTGGGCACACAGAGCACCTCCTCTGGCACAGAACTACCCCTCCCCAAAAACCATCTCCCATCCCATTTTCTTCCTCACCGCTGAATGCTGTCAACAATCCGGATCAGCCTGAGGACTCTTAGGATGAACACAATGTCCAGGATCTGCTGGCTGTTGTACTTCATGGCTGAAAAAAGAACAAACATATTTTTATTATGAAAATAAAGGGAAGTGTGTAGATAAAATTCTTTCATTTGTTATTATTGTGTTCTTGTTAAACACTATAACAGGGAGCTAAAAGGGAAAAAAGAGGATGACTGGATTAGTTCTTAGAAACCCTCCAGAAACTCCTTGTCTGGTCACAAAGCCTCTCAAGCCTGAGGTGCTGGCAGAAGGTGGGGAGGACACCAAAATTCCCAAGGCATGCAGGCTGCTCAAGCTGCACTTACTGGACTTGAGGGTGGCATTGAGAATCGTTGCAGTCAGGGCAGCAAAGATGATAAGAGTATCAAACCTGGCATGAGGGAAGGCACTGCTGTTAGATTTTGGGGGACAGGGACAGGAGTGGAGTTTAAACAAGGAGTGACCCCTGCTCCTCTCACATCAGGCCCAGGCAGCCCTGGGTCAGCTCAGACTATGGGCACATGGGAGAGCTTTGTCACAACTCCTGATCCATCTTAAACACACCTGGCTGGCACAGGAGTTTGGAGCCTTTCAGTCCTTGAGGAGCCGAGCACAGCACTCACCACATTCCACACAAACTTCCAGAACTCCCACTCACCAGTTCCAGAACTGGGTTTTGCCAAAGAACTCCCTGGGTTCGTAAGTGTAGACCTTCAGGAGGATCTCGATCATGTACAGAGCAAGGAACACCCACTCTGCATAGGAAATGTAGGGGCTTTCTTCATCCAGAGCAATGAAGACAGCATTTACCAGGATGATGGCATCGTAAGTCCAAACAAAAGCCCTGCAAGAACCAAGAGAGATCAGTCTGCAGCTCCCAAGAAGGTCAAAGTCACACAGTTACTTTGGAAGCTCTTTGCCTCCTCTCTCAAAAATTCTTTACCCATCAGTTCTCTTCAAACCTGAGAATTTGGGGGAGTCACTGAAGAGTTTAGTTTTGCTGTTGAAGTCCAACACAGAATTTGGTTAACAGGTCCAGGGAAGTGATTTTTCCCCACCTGTTCAGTACTGGTGAGGCCACGCTTGGAGGTGCTGGGGGAGGAACCAGGGTCAGCTGGGCTTCCTGGTACAAGAGAGGCCTGAACACACAGAGCTGGTGCATTAAAGGGTCACAGAACTGACAGAATGACAGACAGTGCAATGTGATGCGTTGGAGAGCTAGGATAGTCCAGCCTGACAGGGAGAAGGGTCAGGACCAGCACCTGTGCATAAATACCTGATGGGAAGGTGCAGGGAAGATGGAGCCAGACTCTTCTCAGTGACATGCAGTGGAAACACAAGAGGCAAGGGGCACAAGTTGAAGTACAGGAACTTCCACTTAAAGAAGTTGCTTGGGTTTTTTTAACCAGGGGTGATCAAGCATTGGGAGGGGTTGCAGAGAGGTTATGGAGCCTCCATGCTCTGGGGATACTCTAGACCAGTTAGGATAGCCCTGAGTACCCTACTGTGGCTGACCTTGCCTGGAGCAGGGGATTCCACTAGCCCATACCTAGATGTTCCTTGCAACCTATTTTGGGATTCTGGGAAAGCCCAGAGGTGAAAGAGAGCTCTAGGGAACTCCAGAACTCCCAGGGCTGATGAGGCAGCAGGACACAGCTCTGCAGCACAGACTGCTGAGGTAGGAGCAGATCTAAGTGCAGCACTTTGGTCCTGCATGGCAAGACACAAAGCACAGCCTGATGTCAGCAAAACCCGGCTCAGACAGCGGGGGCTTACCCACAGCCACAGCTGGTTCCTCCACACTGACCAAGGCATGCCAGGAGCAGTAGCAGAGCCCCTGAGGGCTCCGTCTGTCCTCCCCAGCAGCACATCCAGGTGAGCCCTGGGCCCTGGCAGAGCTCACCTGTGCCTCACAACGCGGCGCAGGAGCCAGCTGGGTGCAGATCCGTACATGGCCGGCGCCCAGCGCGCCAGGGGGTGCTGGCGGATCTTCAGCGTCACCACCTGAATGTTGAGCAGGTCCGCCAGCTGCACGAAGGACTTCTTGTCTGCAGCAGAGGGTCAGTGTCAGCTTAAGCTCATGGCAAACTAACAGTGTCTGCTAAACGCAAATCCAAGCCCACAGGAGTGGCAGCCATCTGGACTCGGTCTCTGCTCCCAGCAAAGTCAATCCCAGAGTGGTATCCAACACAACAGGCTGAACTTGGAATTCAAGCAGCTTCTCTGCCCCAGTCCTGGGGAACTGGCTCAAGCCAGGGGCCAACAACCACCACAGAAGGATTCAGAACACAGAAACTGACTTATCTCTCCCAATACTCCCACTCCAGAGGACTGTGTGGGGAGCCACATTGCATCTGATAACAAGGACTGATAATTCATCCTCTACTGACAACAGAAGGTCCCACGTGCCATGGAGAGTTTGGCCTGATGTCAAATGGCCATGAAGGGCCACTCACAGCATGTGCAACATGGGCTATAGCACAGGCAGCAAGAACAACCTTTTGGGACCTCAGGAATCTGGAGAGAAACAGGAAGAGGGACCCAGAGACCCCATTCCTGAAGGTGCTCAAGGAATGACTGTAATGGTACTCGGTGCTCTGAGCTGGGTGACAAAGGTGGGGAACAGGCACAGGTTGGACTCTATCTTGGAAGTCTTTTCCAACCTCAATGACTGTGATTCTGAGTCCCTCTGGGTCCATTACAGATCAAAAATCCCAATGCCAAGCCCCTTGAAGGATCAGGGTCCTGGCCCCGGCCCCTCCCCAGTCCCCACTGCTCACCTATGAACCCTTTCTGCTCATCATCCGAGATGCGGAGCAGCAGCTCCCGGTGGGAATTGCTGGTGTCAGGAGCCACCAGCTTGACCAGCTGCTTCCACCGGGCTTCCCGAACCACAAACTGCTCTCCCTCCTCTTCCTTCAGGAGGTTGAAGGCCTCGATCATCTTGCGGCGCTTCATGTAGGCGAGTTTGCGGATCTCGTTCTAGAGAGAGCGCTGGGAGTCAGGCAGCTCCAGGTGCCCTTCTACCCTTCTTTAACAAATAAACTCATTTTCACAGCACACAGATGCACGAAGAGACCCAGGGGAATGACACTGGGCACAAAGCACAGCACAGTTAGTGGGGGGGTGGGGTGAGAAATGGTGTTTAACAGACAGCTGTGGGTTCTCCACACCGAGCTCTGGAAGGATCAACAGATTGCTGGATGCTGGGACAACACTGAAAAACCGGAAGGAAAGACAAAGGGTAGTGTCAGACAGGAAGGAGGTGACAAAGATCATGGGATCTGAATGGCCACAGAAGCAAAGAGGATGTGTCCACACATGCTTCCCCATCCACAAGTGAATCCTGCTGAGAGCAGGGGTGGGGATCCTCTTCTGCACATGACTGTGAGTAGAGGGACATCCGCACTCTGCTTTCTGAGAAAGATCCTACCCCCTCATGGGATCACCCAGGAATTCTCAGCTCTCCTCCTTTGGTCACAAGTCCCAAACTGCCCCTACCCAGTTTGGGTAGAACAAAAATTCTCATTTACTCAGACATCCCATTTCGAGTTCCCTCGCTCTAAGAGCACATGCAAAGATGCTGTGCAAAAACAATTCTCTGCATGGAGACAGCATTCCTGAGCTACAACTAAGCCTCCAAGATAATGCAGAATGTGTTCCTTATCTGAAGATAAGAACATTGAACATGAAGATAAGAACCATAGAACATTTAATTCAATGCCAAGAGCAGAGCTCCCAACAACCCCATGATATGAAAAGTGGATCTGTGCTTGATGTTTGCAGAACACCAAAGGCAAGAAGCTGTTTCCCCTTCTCAAAGCTTTCCAAGGGAAAGACAGAGGTTCCTGACAGAGAACAGCAGGAAGCCACTGGTCACAAGCCCCTCCAGGCATTACCTTCAGGTGTTTCTTGTAGTTGTTGTAGACCACAGCCAGGAAGAGAGACATGAAGATGTAAGTGTTGACAATGACAAAGGCAATGAAGAACAGGGCATACCAGGAGCTGAAGTCAAACGCTGGCATCCTAGAGAAGGGGAGAGGGATTGCTGCCTGCCAGACTGACAAAAGTGAGTCCATGAGAAAACAGACTGCCACAAGGATTTCCAAGCGCTGTTTTGGACTGCCAGATCAAACTTGTCAAATAAAAGCTAAAAACTGCATTAGTTCAGTTAGCAAACACTTCTCCTCTGCTGGGTTTCCATCCTGGCTTGTCAGGCCCTGACTGAGGGTGTGCAGAAAACAGCACAGAGATGAAATCTCTGCCAGTGCAGCCAAATTTAAGAGCAGACATGAGGCAATGCCTCAGTCATATGCTATTTTTTGGCCTCAGAGCCTTGCTGCACTCAAATCTGCTTTTCCACTTGCTCTAGGACAAGCTGCATTTTATTTCTCAGTTTAAATTCCCAGGGTCGCTGTACCACCACAGTTGTACTCAAGATATTTCCATCACATAGATGACCGAGCCTTTCCTCCCTGTCCTACTCCTGACAGCACCTTCCCAGCACAAACTACAATGGAAACCCAGAAGACATAGGGATGAAAAGCCCAACATCCACAGAATTTTAACTTTGCTGTGCAAATTAGAGGCTGCGCAGAGAGCCCTGAGAACATTGTGAGAGGAAGAGATCTGATCATCTACACATGACAGCCATACATGACATCTGGGCTGTTTGCAGTTGTCACCAGCACGTAGAGGTCAAACACAATCTCCAGGTAGTTTCTGAAGTAGGGCAAGCCTTCTGCTGTCTGGAGATTCCTAGGAGGAAGAGGAGAGCCTGAAGTTAAGCACTGGGATCACAGCTCCTGCAACAGGAGCAGTGCTTGCATTCCCTAGGAATTGTTTGGAGTCTGCCCAGAGTATCCAGGAGCAAAGGAAGTATCCACACCTCTCTCCAAACAGCTTCAAGGCCATGAGGGAGAACATGAGGAGGCTGAACATGAAGAGCAGGAAGACGTAGGTGATCTCTGGCAGCGTGTTGCGGATGCTGCGGAAAGCCCTCCGGATCTGCCAGGGACAAGGGAAGTGTTCAGAGGCAATGTGGCACCCCTTTTTTCCCCTCACCATCCCACCTGGATCAAACCCCTACAACTGGGGTGCGAGAGTCCCAGGCCTCTCCTCCTTGTTCTTCAGGGGGATCCTAGAAGGAAAGGCCCTACCTACACATCACAGTGAACTCAGGAGCCAAGGGACAGAGGGTCCCAGGGCACTGCTGAGGTGTTCTTTGCTGCAGGGAACCAGTCAGGGACAGAAATCCATCACTCCAGGCCACAAAGCACATGCTCTGAGCCCAGATGTTGAGCTGCTCCCTCCCCCAGGCCTCCACATCACAGTTTATTAATTTGTAAGTCAGGACCAGACCAGTTTTGGGCAGCAGGACAAAGATCTCTCCATGCTGAGAGGAATCAGAGTCCAAATCTGGACTACAGGTTTGAGAACACCGTGACACTTGTTTACCCAGGAGACTTCCAGAAATCAGTAACCTGGTCCCTGACTCAGGGAGAAACACGTTTTTTTTTTTCCTCTGGTACTGTGTGAATCCACCCTTTTGCTCACCTCAAATTATTGCTTCAGGCCACTTCTGAAACAAACCCTTTCTCACAGGACCCTAAATTCTGCCATAAAACCTTCCTGCTACATCCCTGGAATTGTGGAAAGCAGCAGGCTGTCTGAAAAAACAGGACCCTGGACATCCCACTGGACCTTTTCTGTACCTGGCGACTCTCTGCAAAGTTGATGAGGAAGATGGGCCTCACAATCCTTGACCATCGGATGCTCCTCACATCATACAGCCTGAGGATCCCATATATGGCCAAGTCTGTCAGGGATAACTGTAGGAGAAAGAAGGAAAGCTCCCAGAAGAAACGCTGGAATGTGCCTAGATAGTGACGTGTTTGTTGATACAGGAGAGGTGCACACACGACAGGTTTGTGAAAGTTGGTTGGTTTGGCCTTGGCTCATGTATGCCAGGTCTGGGATCCCAGGAAAATAACATGAGGGGGGGAAAAAAAACACCTCCCCTGGGCCCAACTCACCAGGATTGCCACCATGATGCAGATGTTCTTGGTGTCCTTCCAGAACACGTTGTGCAGGGTGACTTTGGCAAAGTGTGTCAGTCGACCAAGGAACACCAGAAGGCACAACACCTCCAACACTGATGTGGCCTGCAGAGAGAGCAGGGCTCAGCCAGCACAACCAGGAGCAGCAATATTCCTTTTTGCATAATAAAAAACAGGCAGAGCAATATTTTCAGGCTTTCTTTTACAGAATTCCCTGCCACAGGCAGGTTAAAGCCAGCAAGTCTGTGTTTGCTCTAGGATTCAGGGAGTACATCTTCCACAATCACACTGGTGCAGGACAAATAAAAAGGTTGCAGAAAAGTTGGGCTGAAGTAAAACTAGGCTTCTAATTTCACACATGAGGACTGGACTTGAGTCCCAAAGAAGGCTGAAACTGGTCTCTGAGATGGAGAACAGCAACATGACTTTGACCACAGTCACATGGGCCATCGCTGGGGGCCACAATGGCTTCTACAGTCCCTGCCAGCTCCTGTGCCTTTTTTGTACCCATTTCAAACAGATCACAGAATTATAAGATCACAGAATCATTTGGGTTGAAGGGTACCATAAAGATGACCCCATGCCACGGGCAGGGACACTTTCCCATAACCCCAGTTGCTCCAAGCCCTGTCCAGCCTGGTCTGGAACACTTCCAAGGATCCAGGGGCAGCCACAGGCTCTCTGGCAAACCTGTGCCAGGGATTCACCACCCTCACAAGGGACAATGTCTTTCCAATATCCCATCTAATCTTGCCCTCTTGCAGTGGGAAGCCATTCCCCCTTGTCCTGGCACTCCAGGCCCTTGGAAATAGCCTTTCTCCATCTTTCTTGTTGGCCATTTCAAGTACTGGAAGAGCCAATTAGGTCACTCTGAAGGTTCTCCAGGCTGAACAACCCCAATTCCCTCAGCTTTTCCTCACAGCAGACCTGTTCTATCCCTCTGATCAACTTGGTCATCTCTTCTAGACTCACTCGAACTTTCCATGCTCTTCCTGTGCTGGTCCTGACCTAGAGCTGGATGCAGGATTCCAGGTAGGGTCTCACCAGAGCAGAGGATCAAAGATACCCGCAAAAACATCACCATCCACTGTCTCTTGGCATCTCTGACAGCCACTTTGAAGCAAGAGGTCCTTGCTGGCTCCAGCAGCTGCATTTGCTGCTCCTACACCACAAACTCACCAGAAAGGGGAGCGGATACACAGCAGGTTCCTCAAAAAGGGCAAGGGAGAGGTTGAGGAAGATGAAGAAGTAGGTGGCTGTTCGCATCATCCAGTGGTTATAGAGGTGATAAAGCCTGGAGGAAGAAGGCACAGGCACCATAAATAAAGGCTACAGGGCACATCCCCAGAGCACCACCAAATGTGCCCTGGAAGAACAGCACTTGCTGTCCCAAACAAACATTTCTGCCAGAAAGGAATTTGGTAATTTGTTTCCAAATCAGTCTCAGAGCTGATAGATACTATACTGTCTTTCAGAGTAGGATTAAATAACAGAATATTTATTATAGTAAACAAAAAATATTTAACTTGGTTCTTCCACTCCAGCACCTTCCACACAGCTGAAGGCTGACCAAGCCTCCCACACTCTTCATTCCCACAGAGGCTTAGAAGACTTCATGTTAGTTTTATTTTCTACCCTCCAGCAAGCCGCAACTTTTTAATGCCATTTCCCATCCTCAACAAACAGATGCACTGAGCCCCGTTTTAAGCATTTCAGCTTAAGCCAAATTTTTGGCACCCCACCCATCCACCCCTCTTAGCATTCCCGACTTTTTCTGGCTGTTGGTGTTTGACCACAGCTGTGGTTGGCTCTCCACAGGTGTGGTTGGGGCGCACGCCTCCTTACCTGACAGCCTCCGGAGAGGTCTTAAAAGGAATATTCCTGTTGTACTGTGCATCGGAGACAAACGCTGCTGCCAGCAGGAGATCCTGGGGAAAACACAAGACAGCGCGTCAGGAGCTTCGGGGAAGCTCCGCGGAGTGACTGAGGGGGAAGGAGAAGGGGACGCGGCGCCCCGGCGCTACCTGCGCCGCCGCCTCGGCCATGGCGCGGGCGGACGCGGCACCTCCCCGGCCCCGCCGCCTTTAACGGGGCCGGTCCCGCCCCCGCGGCGGCGGAAGCGGGAGGCGGGGCCGGGCTCGGGAGCGGGGCCGGGATGGTGCTGGAGGCGCTGCGGCCGCGGGTGGTGCGCTGGGCGCTGCTGGCCGCCTTCACCGCCGGGGTGGTGGTGGGCTGGCAGGCGGGCCGGGCGCGCCGCCGCTTCCTGCGCTGGCGGCAGCGGTACCTCCAGCGCCGCCTCGCCGCCGCGCAGGAGAAGCTGGAAGCGGCCTGAGCGCCGGCACCGCGGCCGGGCTGCCCCGCCAGCGGGCTCCTCCGGACCTCCGGACCTCCGGTGGGCGCTGCCTGAGCTGCTGGAAACGGGTGAAGCGCTGCTGGGGAAGGACAGCGTCCCTGGGACAGCAGGGCTGCCGGCTGGACAGAATCCGTGGAATAGCAGGGCTCCTGGGAAAGGACAGCATCCGTGGAATAGCAGTGCTGCCAGAGAGGACAGCATCCATGGAATGGCAGGACCTCTGCCCTTCGCAAAGCAAGATCCCAAACTGTGTGAGACTAATCTAACAAAGAGTTCAGGATATGCAAGCAGCGATCCCAAACTTGGAATGGACTGCTCAGGAAGGTTTGGAGTCCCTGTCCCTGGAGGTGTTCAAGGAACAACTGGACGTGGCACTCAGTGCTCTGGGCTAGGTGACAAGGTGGGGATCGGTCATGGGCTGCACTCGATGACCTCGGAGATCTTTTCCAACCTCAGCGATTCCATGATTCTCGGATTTCCATATTCCAGAGGGTTGTCTGCACTTGTCCAGCTCTAAGCCTGCTGCTCTGACCTTGCCAGGAAGCGCTGCCAACACAATAAACTAGCAAAAGTCATCACATGGTGCTCCTAGGTGTTTATTTCTGGAATAAATGTGAAAATGTGCCTTATGGGCACATGTAGCAAGTCCCATTATGGGTGTGCATGGGGACAGTTAAGTGGTGAAAGAGCTCATGCGTTGCCTGGGTGAATGAACAAGTGAAAGAAAGGATTAAGAATTCCTCCTGGCGCTTTGGATAAGGAATTGTGGAGGTAGCTGTAGCAAATTCCTGCCTTCCATTGTTAGAGAATGCCAGGAGAAGGAGCGCTGGGGGATTCATTGCAGGCTGCCGGTTTTCAAATCTGTGGGGGAGAAAAAGCACTGCCGAGAGCCCCTTAAGGCTTGGTCTTGGATCTTGGAGCTCTTTCCCAAACGTAGCGATCCTGCCATCAGACTGGGTGGTCTCCAGAGGTGCCTTCCAACCCTACCTATTCTGTGATTCCATGGCTGGGATCACAAAACACCACATCATTTGTCCCCACATAAGCGCCGCTGGGGCTGCTGGGGATGCGAGGGAGGTTTCAGAGCTCCGCGCCGCCGGGGCCGGGCGCGGGGCACGGGGCGCTGCCGGCCCCGCCCCGGGCCCGTCATCCGGCGGCGCCGCGGCTGTCCCGTTGCCCGGTGACGATGTCGGAGCGGCGGGCGAGGGGGCCGCTGCAGCGGGTGCAGCGCCGGAGCCGGGAGCTGCGGGCACAGGTACCGGGGCCACCCCGGGGATGTACCGGGGATGTACCGGGGATGTACCGGGGCCGCACCGGGGATGTACCGGGGCCGCCCCGGGGATGCACCGGGGCCGCACCGGGGATGTACCGGCGCCGCCCCGGGGATGTACCGGGGCTGCACCGGGGACGTACCGGCGCCGCCCCGGAGATGCACCGGGGCTGCACCGCGGATGTACCGGGGCTGCACCGGGGATGCACCGGGGCCGCACCGGGGATGTACCGGCGCCGCCCCGGGGATGTACCGGGGATGTACCGGCGCCGCCCCGGGGATGCACCGGGGCTGCACCGGGGATGTACCGGGGATGCACCGGGGATGTACCGGGGCCGCCCCGGGGATGTACCGGGGCCGGTCCCGGTGTCTCGGCGCACCCCGGCCCTGACCGCCCCGTCCCCTTTTGCAGGTGGAGGCGCTGCGGGCGCAGAGCGCGGCTGCAGCCCCCGGGCAGCGCGAGGCCCTTCGGCTGAGGTGAGGGGGATCCCGACCCCCATCCCGAACCCCATCCCTCGATCCCGCCGCCCGGGCGCTGCCCTCACCCTCTCCTCATGTCGCCTCAGCAGTGTTCGTTCCCTCCATGCCTTTTCTCTCTTAATTGTACAGCTTTCTCCCTGCCCCTTCCCTCTCCTGTTTTCCAGGCTGGCTCTTTCCCAGCCCTCTGGAAAAGGGAAGACTGAGGGGGGCTCTCACCAAGCCATATCAATATCCCCAAGGCAGGTGCCAAGGGGATGGTGCCAGGCTCTTTCTAGTGGTGCCCAGCAACAGGATGGAGGAACAATGGCCATAAATTAAAACACAAGATCCACTTCAGCATGAGGGTGGCAGAGAACTGGAAGAGCTGCCCAGGGAGGGTGTGCAGTCTCCCTCTCTGGAGACCCACCTGGATGCATTCCTGTGTCACCTACTCAGGATCCTGGTGACCTCCTACTCAGGGTGATCCTGCCTGAGCAGTGGGGTTGGAGTGGATGAGCTCCAGAGGTCCATTCCAATCCCAGCTATTCTGGGATTATGTCAAATGCTGCTGTTTGAGCTTGGAATTCTCACCCTGAAGGGACACACAGTGCCTAAAAGGATACCTTTCAGTCAGCAGGTGTGGTTTGGGTCAGAATTTTAAGAAAATACCATCTGCTTGTCTTGCTTTCAATGCAGATGTACACAGCTCAAGGAATTTGTGGAGGAGAATACAAACACTCTCCGTGGTTTGAAAAAAGTAAGTATGGAGATTAATCTGTGATTTTCTCCAAAATTCACCATGGAAAGTGTTTAAAGAAAATCAATGTTCCATTTTAGATGCCTCAGGAAAAGAGCAGTGCCCAGCACTGCACAATCTCTGCTTGTCATCTCTCCAAATTATATTTTTTATATCCATTTATATAATTTAAAACTCATTTTAATGCTTTATTTCGTCCGAGTCCCAGGTGAAAACTTAATAGAGAACTGCACCTTGGCAGAGTGAAAGGGTAGGAAAATTGTCACTAAAGCGGGAGTGACAGTAGCCCAGGAAGAGAAAAACTTGTAAGGCATGCCTGGAAAACTTATTTTATAGAGGAACTTTGATTATTTGAGCAATTTATTGGGGAACTTTGATTCTTTGGGGCATTTGTTGGGTTCTCTGTCAGGCTGATGAGCCTGCGCCAGTGGGGAATTACAGCCAGAGGAAGGAAGAGGAAGAAAAGCTGTTGCTAAGACTCTCCCAGCAGCTGCAGAAACTCCTTCTTGCCTTGGATCAGAATAGTGTGACAAAGAATTATCCAGGGTGAGTAGCTTAAAGATACAAATGCAACTGGTTTTTTAAAGGATGGCTGGAATAGACCTTGAAAAACCATTATCTCACCCCCTTAATTAGCTGAAAAATAACAGAAGGGTAAAAAAAGAAGTGCTCAGGAGACAAGTAATTTATGACTTGCTAGGATTTTCTCAGGGTGCTGGATAATGGCTGCAATATAAGGTTTGGAGGAGTTTCTTCAGGACAGAGAGCAAAACAGAGGAATGGAAATGCTGTATCTGAATAATGTCCTTGCAGAGGCTTGACAGCATTTCTAAAGAGTTTGGTGGGAATCATACTAAAAAATAGTTTGATTTGTTTTGGGTAGGGGTGAGGAACACCAGAAAGGCCCTCATGCAGAAGAGGGAAATGAAGAAGAGGAGGTGAGTGAAGATGAAGAAAGTGAGGAAGAAGACACTGAAGAAGAAGAAGATGAGGAGAAGTTGTTGGATGATCCAAATGTTAGAGAATGTGTTGCTGTCGGGAACTTTGATGCCCAGCAGGAAGGGGATCTCACATTTGTGGTAAATATCTCCCTGTAAAGGGTTTTTACTGCAGGTCACTCTGAGGTAAGCAGTAACTATAATGAAATCCTATACTTTTGGGATTCAGCCAGCTGTGGGATTTGGGGAGAAATTTGAGTTATGTCTTTTTCAATTTAAATATTTGCTTGTTTTTTTGTCTCTGTCTCATCCTCCAATGGCAAAGAAAGGTGAAATCCTGCTTATACACGACAAGAAGGCAGATGGCTGGTGGGTAGCTGAAAATTCCAAGGGAGAGAGAGGCCTCGTTCCCAGGACATACCTTGCGGTTGGTGTGCTGCAATCTCTGTCCTAATCTTACCTCTGCTCTTTTATATAGACTAATGATCATATATCTGCACAAAATGGGTTGCAGTGCAGTGTTGTGTTTGGAAATAAAACCAGTTATTTGGAAATAACTCTGTGTTTTTGTCCATGGTACTGGAGATATCCATCAAAAGCAGCATTTCTATACCTTGTGAAGTTGTGGCAGAGAAGTTTCTTGAATATCAAAGTCAGAATCTTTGTCACTTAAAGGTCAACTCCAAAGATTCCAAGGTGCTGTGGATTGATTTGGGGTTTTAATAATTTATCTGAAATGGGAGTCTGTGTAAACGTGTGACAATTTTCTGCATCACAGAGAGAAAATCTCCTCTTATAAACTTACTTAATTTATTTTAAACTTATATTAATATGGGCTGTGGTTGGAGAAGGCATTTTTAAGAACAAAACTAGAAAGAAATCAAGCCTTTTGCCATTTTAAATATGAATTCCAGGTTCCTAAGGAAGAGGAAGAAAGCCAGGAGGAGTCACAAGAACACACAGAAGTGGTGGATGAAACAGCAGATGTAACTGAAATTCAAAAAAGGTAAATGGATTGTCTCAGATATGGTTGTGAAGCTGCTGCTATTTGGAAACTGAGCAATATTTGGTGGTTAAATTTTTGTTCTTGTGAGGATTTACTATAAATCCCTCTATTTTCTTCCAGAAACAATTCCTACTGGAGTGCTGTCCGAGCCATCATGGAGGTAGGCGCCCCTTAGAGCGCAGCTTCGCCTGCCATAGTCTTCATTATTTTGTAAACAAGCTGTGCCTTTTCCCTAACACTGTCTCATATCAAAAACCATTGTTCTTAATGAACATCTGTGTTTTGGGAGTTTTTGGTAGCAAGAAATGCCACAAAAATGTTTCAGAAGAGGTGACTGGTGTCTCAAGTTTCTGGTTCTAAACAGAGCTGTAAATTAGGATTAAATTTGCTGTTAAACAACAGGAACAGTATTATCTTTTTTTCTTTGTTTTTACTAGAATGACATTTTGGAGGTACTGACCACCACAGGAGCAGTTCCTGCAGGGTTCCGCCCATCCATGCTTTTCCAGCTCTTGGAAGAAGGTAGGAATTTTGCCTGGCAAGATTCTCAAGTGTCTGTGGTGGCTTTCTCACACTGGTCACCAGCCTGTTGGACCCCTATCCATACTGCTTAATTTTAATTAATTGGCTAACTGGCTATACTTGACTCATCAATTTGTGTATAAATATTTTTTCCCTTAAATTTTAATTTATCAATGTGAAATCCTGACAAATTTCCTCATGGTTTCAAAGAGTTTCTTCATTCCTGTTGACTTTGCAGGAAATGATGATTTTTTTTGTTTTGTTTTGTTTTATTTTAATCTTCCCTTTTTCTCAAAGGTCTTTTCTAGTCTCTTCACCAAATATATTGATATTTCATGTTCTGTTAGTCTTTCTGTTTAAAGCTCTTTAATCTCTTTTTTTAAATTAAGTTATTGTGCTTTTGAGATGAAACACTTCAGAATGCTCACAAATAGTAGACAGTGCTCATAGCAGGCAATTCCATAGTTTTGTTTAGTCAAACAGTCAACTGGACATGCATTTTGGGTGTTCTTTCTGGCACAATAAAGACCATTTGAAAAATGAAGAGTTTTTAAATTTACTGTTGTTGTAGGTGAAGAGTTTCGAGCAAGTTACTATTTGCAACCTAAGCTTACTCCATCCCAGCTGGCTTTCAAAGACTTGGTGTGGAACTCTGAGAGAAATACTGTGAGTATTGCTGCTAAGTGGGACACAAACTTTATTTGCCTTCTTTCCTTTTGGCTAATGATTATGTCTTAATTTGCACCATTTCTGGTGCAAATATTTCTTCTGCTGGGACCTTCTGTCTGTCTCACTAAAACATCCCTGGGCCAGAGCTAAAGGCTTGTGAAGAAATCCTGCTGCTACCACTGCATTGCACTGGGTTTGTGGTTGGGAGAATAACCTCAGTCCATAAACACAAAATGAGACCATGTGGAGAGGGCCCTGTAGGTTTAATCCTCCTTCTGCTGTATTTCAGATCCATCCTAGACCCACCAGAGTGTCCCTGATTGTCACTTTATGCAGCTGCAAGATGATCCCTCTCCCTGGGACTGGCGTGCAGGTCCTCAGCCGGCACGTCCGTCTCTGCCTCTTTGATGGCAGCTGGGTAAGGAATGTGTCTGCTTCCCAAAAAAGGACTGCAGGAGGTTTGGAACTTCCAGGATTCTTCAGGTTCTGGTTCTCTCTGTCTCACTTAGAGATACACACACAACCTGCCTCTCAGGCTGCTTAATTTATGCTTATATAAGTCTGGTTTGAGCCCACTCACCCAGAATAATGGAACTTTAATGATGAAACAGGCCAGACTGCATTGATGGGCATTGGGCATGGCCAGGCAAGCATATGCAGCCCTGCTTCCCACCCTTGGTACTCCATAAGGCACTTGACCCCTCCCTTTATCTGCCTTTGGTTTCTCCCTCTCTGCTTTCTTCTCATGGTAAATCAGATGCAGCCCCAAAATGTCCCTGAGCAGTGTGAGGTGAGCCAGGGAGCTGCTCCTGACTCAGGGTGACAGTCATACCCAGCCCCTGGGGCTCAGGGCTGTACTGGGTGGCCCTGGGAGGGGCTGGGGCGGGAGTTCCATTTATCTGAGTCCTAATTTTGGGTCCCCCACCTGCCATTGTGTCTCCTGGCTCCTTTGTGTTCTTTGCAATGAGTGTTTCCTGGGCTGATCTGTCTCCTGGGATAGGCCTGGGAGCAGCTGGGTCAGAGTCAGATTCCTCCATGTGCCCTTGATCCTCTGTTCCTTTGTGTGTGTGCAGAGCAGCTTTTTGTAAAAACATAACCCTGATTATCCAGCAGTTTTCTTCCAGTTGTCTTTGTTGTATGCAGTGTTGGATCCATCTGGGATAACCCTGGATTTTCTGAAAGCAGCAGGGCATTCTAGAAAAACTTGCCTTAGCATTTTTCCCCACTTTAGGTGCTGAGTAACATTCACACAGTGAGAGCCACGTGGCTGCCTAAAAATCCTCAGACTTGGACTTTTTCTCCAAGGGTAGGTGTCACAGCCCCTGGCTGTTTACAGCTTCTTCCTTCAGTGTCACTAAAGTCTTCCTTGGTGGCACAGCTGTGCTCCATGGAAAGACAAAAAGGGGAGCAAGATTTTGACTGGAATTTGTTCTCTCTTCATTTTTATATGCAGTGGGATTGGGTCTGAGATCTTGTGTTGAGTGGGGGATGTGCTTGATGGCCTTTAAAAATCAAGATTTTTTGGTTTTTATAGGTACATTAACTTTTTTTTTTCCTCTCTGTATCAGGTGATGGGCATCTTACCCAGCTTGCTTGATGGTGACTCTTTTGTCAGGTCCAACTCTCTGTCTTCAGACATTGGGATATTGTTTGAGCTTGGCATCACGTACAAGTGCAATGTGAGTGTGGGGAGGTGCAATGGAAATGACTCCAAGGGCAGATTTATAAAGGGAATCAGCTGTTCTCAGTCAAGAGAATAGGACTAGAGAATATCCCTCATTAGAGAACAGGATTACCTGGAAGGAGCCTACAGGAAAGATGGACAGAGACTTTTCACAAGCTCCTGTAGTGATAGGACAAGGGGGAATGACTTCCCACTATCAGAGGGCAGAGATAGATGGGGTATTGGGAAGGAATTCTTCTCTGTGAGGTTGGTGAGGCCCTGGCACAGATTGCTGAGAGAAGCTGTGGCTGCCTCTGGATCCCTGAAAGTGTCCAAAGCCAGGCTGGACGGGCTTGGAGCAACCTGGGATAGTGGAAGATATCTCTGTCCATGGCAGGGGGTGGAATGAGATGATCCTAAAAATCCCTTCCAACCCAAACCATTCTGGGATTCTCTGATGGGTGAATATCCCTAATTAGAGAGTAAAAATCCCTCTGACTCATGGACATGAGTGTCCCTGTACCAACACTGAAATAACTTGCGCCAAAGATCCCATGCCATGGGATCACAATGGACTAGCTCTCTCTTCACTCCTGCAGTTTTCCATCTCTGTGATTTATTTCAGAATAATGTCCTGTACAGTTGGAAAACTAAAGTTTTAACTGTTTCAGCAGCATGGACAATGGTTCCAGCTCCAGTTTATACAGATAGAACCTATCCATCTGGGATATGCTGCTGGAAAGCACAACAGGTAGTAAGACAATAGATGGTAAAGCCAGAAAAACTACCCTCAGAGAAGGCAGATTGTGATTTTTAAACACACAAGGGTGAAAGAAGAAAATGGGATAACTACAACAATTCTCATGTGGTTACTGTTACTAATTGTGGTTCAGTCACTCATTCTAGGTCAGCTGCTCAAATAATGTACATTTCTCTTTTTTTCTAGTCAACAGGTGAAAGAGGAGAGCTGAGTTGTGGCTGGGCCTTTCTGAAGCTTTTCACTTCCAGTGGGGTTCCTGTTCCTTCCAAGTGAGTTCATTACCTTTTCCTGCTCCCCCTGTATTTACACATAGATGTATATACATCTGTTTTAGACTGAGAGTTAAGCTCATCTTTCATACTTAGACACCTCTGGGGCAGGGGGCATCCAGACCAGTCCTTTATGATTCTGGCTCTTCTTTGCCACATATTCCCTTTCCCATGTGAAAACTGGGAGACTGGCTCCCAGGACCTAGAGTCAGGTAGGAGTTGTGAATTAATTGCTCTTGGAATGTGAATGATATTTTGTAGCTGATTTATGGTTAGTGGGTCCAGTCATCTGAAAGAATAACAAAGTGTTCATATTTTTATTTTATTAAATGTAGGAAAACTTTCTGTTTATTGACAGAAATAATTCATTGTAGCTCAGACTTTCAAGACTTGTTTTTTTTTTCAACTATTGGTAGACATATATATATTGTGTATATGTATTCTGAATTTATCTGGGTTACAGCTCAAAAACAAATACCCACAGGACACCTCTACTCTATTGTTCTAGAATTCTCTAAATCTCTTCTAAGTCTCATTTTAAAAATATTGTTCTACTATTTCATTAAGTAAACATGGTATTACAGATTAAATTTCATGCTTGTTTCAGCAGTGACTTACTCTTGGCAGAACTGGGGCTACATTATTCTTTAACAAATTTTAAATATGGAAGATTTTAATTGTTGAAGTAGTGATTCCTCAAAACCATTTTAGTGAAACAATTGCTAAATCCATACAAGAAAAATATTTGGGCTGTGGAAAAGAAAGAATGTTGTTAATAGCTTTTAAAATAATTGACCTCCTAGTACAATGAAATTCCAAAACTAGTTGAATTCCCAATATCATATGGGCTTCAGATTTATCTTTATTGACAGGATGTATGAGCTGGTCCTGAGTGGTGGAACTCCCTATGAGAGAGGCATAGAGGTTGACCCATCAATATCAAGGAGAGGTGTGGTTTCTTCTCAATATAATATAAACATAATAATGTGATTAATGCTGCATCTCCTTCACAATAGTCCCCACAGCCTGGTTTGGGTTTTTGTGTATTTCATGTTTTTGCACGTATTTCATTATTTATCTGCTTTTGCCTTGGCTGTGGGGAGCTGGGTGCTACCAGGCTAACTAAACTCGAAAGAGTTCTCAACCCACTGAAATGCTAATTTTTGTAATATAATTACTACTGTTGTTTCAAACTGACTTTTTGAATCTGGGCTGTCTCTTCCTGCAGCAGGCTCTGGGGTTTTTCAGCAGTTTATGAGCCTCAGGAAGCAACCTGTGCTTCTGGTGAAAGTGAAGTCACCAAGTGTGCACTCAAAAGAGATCCTGAAGTGAGTCCTTGTGGTTCCATAAAATGAATAAGTATTCCACATAGCCTAGAGAAATCTGCAGTGTTTGTGATGAAAACCTCAACTGCTGTCCCTTATTTTCCCAACAGTTTTCTCCCTGAAACATTAGTTGGGGGCATGTGCTACATCCATCTCCTGGTGTTTTATCGACAAATCCTTGGAGATGCCCTCCTAAAGGACAGGACAAGCATTCAAAGCACAGGTGAGCACTGGAGGAAGATCAGGTTCGTCCAGGGAATGACTCTTGCCAGGTCTCCCTTTGGTAAGAGATGTTTTTGGCACTCAGGCTGAGTTATCCTCTTTATTTTTAGATTTTAATTATTATTTACTTACTGACAGTAGGGAGAGACAGAAGTTGGAGAATTCTGGATTTAGAACTCAGTGTCTTGCCCTGATTATTCAACAGAACTAATGATAGTTTATAGCCTTCTCCATTTAAAAACCAACTTGAAATTAAAAAAAATCGATTTCTTAACTGTACTATGTATGAATTTATATAGGTGAGAACTGCTACACTTACCTGATTTGATCTTCTTAATTTAGGACAGTACATCAGGCTGACAACCTCTCCTGGAGTTAAATTGCATCCCTTTGGATTCAGACTTCATTTGAAGTCATTGAAAGGCTTTATGCCAAGAGTTGTTCTGGTAGCTGTGCAACTAAAGAAGATTTCTATTATTTCAAAATCCACCATAGCTTTAGGAATAGACAATTGAAAATGTCTGTTCTACTTCCCAGAAGTCATCAGTCCTGGCTCTCTTCCCCGAAATGTTTGAGCATTAGTAAATGGTTTATGTTTACCAAACTTGCCATCAGCTTTAAGGTGAAGGAACAAGTTTACATTCAATATTTGAAATCACACAGCAAAGAAAACACTTCAGACAAAATCCTGCTCTCTATCACTTAGAATCTTACCCACAGTCTCATTAATTAAAATAATCACAGAAGCAGAGTGATTTCTCATGGAAGTGACCCAAAAAGCATCAGGACACCTGTGCTCCATTGGGAAAATTCACTGTGCACTTGGCTCCTGGTTCTCCTAAAATGCCACACGAGACGTGCCAGGGTGAGGTAGAACCCAAGTGTGTTTATCCATAACATCCAAACTAAGCAGCACAATTGCAGGTGTGTATAAAAAAAGAGAAACGCAGAAATGAGGGAAAACATCTGTGACAGGTAAATCGGGAAGGGCTCGTTGTTTGCTGGCATTCCCAATAAACAGAACTGGGGTTTTTGTGTCTCCACTCCTGGTTTAACTGTCTCTCAGCCACTGAGAATTGGCTGCAGTCAGAACAGTTTTTAGGGAGTTCTCTTTAACTGCTCTGGAGAACTGTCACAGCTCATTTTCCCTTTGGAATAATCTGACAGGAGAGGATGTACTGTGCTTGCTGAATAACTGAATGTGCCAATACTTTGAAAACTGATTCTTCCTTAGCCTTGAATGTGTTTGTTTTGTTTCAGACTTAATCTGTAATCCTGTTCTAGCAACTTTCCCTCAACTCCTGGATCAGCCAGACCTGATGGATGCACTTCGGGTATGTTACCTTGTCAGGATTTCCAGGCAAAATTTAAGGAGTTTTTTTTAGTCCTGGGAGAAGACAATGTTCTTCAGCCTTGCTCTGATTGTACATTTCATTTTAGAGTGCCTGGGCAGACAAAGAAAGAACATTGAAGAGAATTGAGAAGGTAACAAACTACAGGTTTTTCTTTTCATATATTCAGGGTAATTCCAACTAGCTGCTCCCTGCCACTGCAATTGGTGTTTAGCTTTTCCTTGCACTGTAAATGACGTTCTCAACATTTCTCACCCAGATTTATAACAGTAAACCAGGAGCAGGAGGAAAATTTGTAACTTTTTATTTCAGTGTTGTTAGGGGGGAACCTGTTAGAGGTTGGTACCCAGAGTGGCTCCCTGTCAAGATGTGCTTCCAAGAATCAGCTGGTAAAAGCTTTCCATGGATACAAAAAGGGGCTGTGTATGCCCACAAAATCGTCTTCCCTCCTCCAAACTCTGAGCTTCAGTCCTTCCACAATCTGCTTGGGGAAAGGCCCCCTAAATTCCTCATATCTCCCTACCCCAGAGAGTTGTAATCCCACGTTTTGGCACATAGAGAGCTGGAGAATTGACCCGGTTGTCCCCAGGCTCACCCATTCTTTGTCTTACGTCCTGTCCCCTGGACAGAGAGCAGCAGCAGGAACTGAATGAGAAAGCCATCCAGGATTTCCTGGAAGCATGCTCCTGAATTGATGCACAAGGATAGCTCCCTGTTTATGCAGAACACCTTCTGAGTCAGAGCAGCTTTTTCAGGGCCATTCATCCAAAAGGAGAGCAGATCTGCTCACGGAACAGGCAACTCCCCAGCATCCCAGAACCACCCAGTTCTACCTGAGTGGCATGTGCCACTCCCACGGGAGGATTGCTGCCTGCTGAATGCTCACCCCTCGCATGGTTCCATGAGGCTGAGCTTTGAAACGCTCCCTGCCAGGCACAGCACTCCTGGGGCTGGGACACTGGACTTGGATCTTTCCTGTGTGTTTGATAATTGACCGGGCTGATCCTTTATCTCTGGGTTTTCCAGACTGATCTTTACAGGGGAGCACACAGGTCACACCATGCACAAAGAGTGGGACAACAGTGCCCAAAGGCAGCATCATCTCTGGCTCCAAGGAGTGGGATTGGAGCCATGCTTCACCTAGGACAGCAGGGAAACGAGAGCAGTTTGGGCTTCCAGGGCAGGGAGGATGTGGCACTGCTTTTAAGAAATATAAATACCTCACAGCAAAGGGCTCTCAGTGCCTGTAGTTTGTGGGAAGGCTGGCAGAGTTCAGGGTGCAGGTTTGTGGATATGCTGGGGGCACTTTGGAAAAGTGCTTGGCAACGCCACATGTTTGCACTGAGGTATTTTCAAACACTCTTCTCTGCAGAGAGATCAAGAATTCCTGAAGTCTGAGTTTGTCCTGGTGTACCACAACTCTGTGTTCCCTCTGCTCTGCTCCACGTTCCTTCCCAGCTACAGATGGGCTGAGGAAGAGGTGGAATTATCTCGCTGGAAGGTGATCCATGACTTCCTGAAAAGGAGCCGGGAGAAGGATGGCGCGCTGGAGTACCTGCTGTCATCAGAAAACACCCACAGAGCTTTTGACATCTCAGAGCTGGCCTATGATTTCTTAGGAGAGGTGAGGGAAAACAATCCTGGAGAATGAACAATTCAGGCTTTCTAAGGACATAATAACAATAAAATTAAATTCTTACCAAAGAGATTGTGTAGGAGCTGAATTGTAATGGATATTTTAGCACAATTAAGATTTTGAGAGAGATTAAATTTTATCTGTTTATCTACTGGAAATTATATTTTTTAACTTTGCAGTATTAAACAAGGCTCTGGTTGCCTGTTACTACCTGTTGTAGCCATGTCAGGTATTATATTCTGCCAAAGTTGAGGCAGCCCTTTTCTCCTCTCCTGCAGCTTCCAATTAATTTCCAGTGTTATTTTAATGAGTGTGAACAAAAGGCTTTTTGTCCCAGTCCCCCAGCAGCCTGAGAGCAGGGAAGGGAAGGAGCATCGTCTTTAAGAATGCTGCTGAACAAGAAGGGCAGCCAGCTTAAGGGAAGAATCCTCTCTTGTCCAACCAGTGACCAGTAGGTTGCTCCATTTTTAGATTGTTTGCCTGTTCTTCTCCCCCACTCAGAAGGCTGGGTTACTCCCAGGAATGTACCTGACCCAACACAAATAGCAGCTGGTGGGAATCCTGGGAATGCTGTGTTCCCCAGGATTATTTCCTCTGCTGACCCCTGAGCACCTTGTGACCACAGGCTCTGTGTGCTGCCCATTCCCAGGGGGAAGTGATCAATCCACTTTCTCTTTAGTGCTGGAGCATCTGGATGCTTCCTGCAGGGTGATGGGGACCTTACCACTGAATCACATCTGGATTTAAGCCCAGGCCAGGCTCAGTTTTGTCTGGCGAGATTTGAAACAAGATTTTTGAAAACCTCCACTGCGTGGAGCCAAAGCCAGCTCCCACTGGAGTATTTGTAAACAGGAGCCTCCAGGAATACCACAGAACACTTCCCCCAGCCTAGGAAATGCTCAGAGACATGGATTTGATCTTTGCTCTGTGTTGTGCAAGAGCTTGGCATAGAAGCCGAGTTCCTGGGGCATCACCTGTCTTGCCTAGCAGAGCTGGAATAACTCACTGTGACAGTGTCTTCCTCCTGCTGTAGCCCGTTGCCCGGGTTAATGGGTTCATTCTGTCCTCTCTGGGCCACCAGGCAGAAGTGCCACCCCCAGCCCTTCATCCCACCCCTTTTCTGGGAGTTCTGGGGCCAGGCAGAGTTCACTGGATGAGACAGCAAGTGCTTCCCGAATCCAAACTGCATTTGCCAGGAGGCAGAAATTCCTGCCGCTCCCCTTCAAACCTCACTGGGCTATCGGGAGCACATTGCCAAACCCTTCTGGTGTGTTTGTAAAAATTTACCTGCTAGTTTCTGAAGGTTGGATGTGCCTGGAGGGTGTGGAGGGGTCTGGCGTGACCGCGGAGCAGAAACCTGAACAGAAAGGGGAGGAGGCAACAACAGTGGAAGCAAAAATATTTCAGGATTGGAAGCGTGCCAAGAGAATCGTTTGCAGGAAACATTTATGTTCCGTCAAGGTGTAGGAAGTTTTTTTCCTTCCCCCTCCAGTTAATGACCTCGCATTGGTGCGTGGTGGGGCCGGGGTCCCGCTCTGTCCCATCCCGGTTGGCAGCGGGATGCCCAAAGCCGCCGCAGTCGCAGGGGTGCCAGGGGCTCGTCGGGCTGGGGCAGCGGCGCGGTGCCAGCCCCGGCCGGTTCCTGTGCTTACGTCCCGCGGGCGTGTCCCTTAAATCCCGCATGGGAGCGGCACGGGACAGGCAAGCGCCAGCGGAGCCGAGCGGAGCGGTGTCAGCGGAGGAGAGATGGCCTCGGTGGGTCCCTCCGCAGCCCCCACGCAGCCCGCTCTGCCCTCCGGACCCGCCGTCTTCAAAACCATCCCCTACGCCTTCATCCTGCCGGAGATCGTGAGTATGCCTCGCTCCGCTGCCTCATGGAACCCACTCCTGGCTAAAAATCCCCTGAAACCATCCTGAAGGCATCGTTACTGGAAAGTGACATCTTGTCTTGGAGCTTATGCTGAATGCACAAAGTATTCCTGACGAGGTTTTTAGGAACAGCTTGAGGACAAGGTACACTCAGCTCCATCACAGCCTGTGTGAGGGTCACTGGCTGCCGTGGGGCTGGGAGAGGCTGAAGAGCTGATGGTTCATCCAGAGCAGACTAGCAGCTCTTGTTATCATGAAGCAGCTCTTATTAGCTTGTAGAAATGGCTTGAAAATCAAGGGAATTTTGCTCTCTGTATCAAATCGGTCTAGGGGTTGAAGGCAATTGGGCGTCTGCTAATGTGTGATGACATTCCATGATTCTTTCAATTGCTTCTGGGTACAGAGGGCATCCAGGGGACCAGCCAAGATTTTAGCTGGTGTACTTTGTCATGGTGCTGGCAATCCACACACCCTGTGCTCCACAGGCACAATCCTTCCCCGTGGTGGCTGGCTCAGCTCCCTGCTGCAATTCCAGGGCTTTCACCCACCACAGTTGGGATGGCACAGGCTCATCCCGATAACTCCATAGGCTTTTTGTAGTGAGTAAATATTTTGGGTGGATCGCTCCAGGCTGGCGCATGGAGCTAAGAGGAGACTTCCTTGTGCTGCAATTCCAAGCCCCAGAGATTAATGAGCGGGCAGGGCTGGGTTGAGGCAACTTGCTCACTTTTCCCAGATAAAAGCACATTTTCTGGCTTCTCCACCAAATCTCTCGGGGTGAGACATTTCCTTGTGTGGAAGGCGACAGCAAACCCTTCCCTTTTGTGTGAACACTCATTTCCCATGAGTTTTCAGGGAAACCGGTGCCAACTTGCTTGCTTGTTTCCCAGAGCACTGGGATGCTCTGGGAAAGATGCAGGGGTTCTGCTGGCTGCTGCAGCTGGCCCAGGAGGGAGGCGAGGAGGGAACTGGGGAGGAAAAGGGCTTTTCCTCATTCCACACTCATCAGAGGCACTTGATTGTCCCTGGCAGCTCTGTGGGACCTGGGTGTGGATCCTCATCGCTGCTACCTCAGTCTCCTTGCCATTGCTGCAGGGATGGGTGATGTACGTGTCCCTCACCTCCTGCCTCATCTCCCTGCTGCTCCTCTTAAGCTACCTCCTCGGCTTCCACAGGAACAGCGAGAACTGGAAAGTGCTGGTAAGGAGGGGATGGAACACGCAGATGGCAGCAGCAACGTGGGTGCATGACCCCCATGGCTGGTGACCCACTGACCCTTTCTTCCTTTTACCTTGACTGGAAAGTCCAGGGGAGCTCTGCTGTGAAACCACTGCCTGGGAGGGTCCAGTCCCAGGCCTATCCAGGCACCTGTCCTCCTTTGGGGCACTCACAGGTGCCTTGTTTTGCAGGACAGTTTGTACCATGGCACCACAGCCATTCTGTACATGAGTGCCGCTGTCCTGCAGGCCAATGCGACCATCAACTCTGAGTTCGGCGACAATGCACCACTCAACTACCAACTCAACAGCGCTGCATCGGTGAGTTCACCCTGCCGGGCTGCAGGACACACACTTACCCTTGGAAGGGCAACAGCATGTGTTAAAGCCACAGCAGAGTCACCCCAAGCCCCACAGTGCCAACTGAGCAGAGTTTCAGCTCCACAGCTCTGTGGATGGTGCAGTTAGCGTTGGTTTCTCAGGGTCCACCAGTTCACGGACAGCCTGACATGGCTGGATGCTGGGAAAACTTAGGCTTTGCCTCTCCTTTGAGGTGAAAGGAGCTCTATGCTGGGAGGCTTCCCCATGCTGAGAGCACTGGGAGGAGATGGGGTTTGACTCTGCCAGCTGACCCTTCCTCTTCTTTCTCTCATGCAGTTCTTTGCCTTCCTCACGACCTTCCTGTACATCCTCCATGCCTTCAGCATCTACTACCAGTGATCCTGGCAGCACCAGATTCACCTTTTCAGGATGAGGGCTTTCCCAGTGTGCAAGCCCCAAGGTGTCTGCCTCAGCTCTGTCAGCAGGCCTCAGAAACAGCAAGTCCTTTTGCACTTCATCACAGGAGGGACTTTGTTGGCACACGTTGGTTTGCCTGTGGGACATTTCCTGCCTTGCCTGGGGGAGGGACTTGCAAGGGGAGGGACTGGGCGCAGGCCCCAAGCCTCCAATATCCACATTCTGCCAATATTGACAACCATGGGAAGAGGAAAACAAAAAAATCACTGTTCCTTCAGCAAACAATCTCCTTTCTTATGTTATTTACCTTTCTCTAGTTCAGCTCCATCCCTCCCCAACACAAGTTCATAACAATGATGCAATGTTCCTTGACTTTCAGATGGTTTCATTTGGTAAATGATGTATTTGGAATAAAGTGTCAATGGACGGATTTTGACTACTCTGTGTTCACTGAAAAAGCTCATTTTACTTCCCAAGAGTATGAAAAGAAACAGCAAATGTTCATTTGGAAAGCTACAACAGATTTTAAACAAGCAAATCATAGAACCCATAGGAAATTTCTAGATGCAGTACAAAACTACAGCATGAAAAGAATGATTACACGGGAGGAGAACAGACATTTACAGCAGTTCTCCTCCTGTGTCTCCTGATTCTCACTACAAAACCTGCAGCTGAGGAGTCCAGGCACTGGCACCACTCTCATGGAGCACTGGTGTTACTGCTGTCCCTCTTCCATATCCTCAGCCTCGGAATGACTGATTGCATCTCCCTGCTCCAGGCAATCCTGCAGGTCTGGGATACTGTTGGCTCGCAGCACATCCACGTAGAGCAGGTAGTCCTGGAGGCAGGCTGGCAATGGCAATTCCCGGATCACACGCTCCAAGCGCAGGCGCTCGCTCCCCAACAGGGACCGGATCTCCAGGCGGCACAGATGGGACAGGGAAGGAAGAAAGGCTGGAAAATGAAATCCTAAGTCAAACACACAGCAGCTCTTACTACACCAATATATTTACTAATAAAAAAAGAAATAAAGAGAGAACTTAATCTCAATTTCCCCAAATAACTCCCATCTTTTTAAACGCCAAAAACATCCTCATTAGCTTCAAATATTCTAAAGGAAATATTATGAAAAGACATTATCACTTGGACAACTTAAAAATTATTACAGACCCTTTTAGAGAAGAATTTTCTTTGAAAGGAATCATTAACAAAGACACATAAGTGCAGTTTTTCAGTCACATAACACATGACCTGCTTTTCTGAAGGCTGAACTATAAAAAATTCCTGCATAACAAATTGAATTTTTTTGGCTGGTCAAATTTTGATTATGTTTGATTTTTATGGTTTATATTTAATTATTGTCCAATGCTTACAAAACAGGACAGATGCTTCACTGGAAATACAAATCACATTAGAAAAATATAACTATCATCTTCTCAAAAATCTTCCCATCTGCAGCTTGGAAGCTGAGCACATACAGACATAATTTTCCTGCCTGTATTCCTTACCAAAATGGCTCTTGGAAGTCCAACTGAACTTCTCTTTGTATTGGGAAAGGTGTTGCTCCACAATTGGAGGAAGTCTGCTCCAATTCATGAACTCCAGGACGAAATTAAGGACATCCTCACTCATGGAGAAAATCCTGCGTAACAAAAACTCCTCTAAAATACCTTTTAAAAGTATTTGTAGATTACAGAATAAAAGACCAGAAAGCATCACATGTGATACACAAGAATAGTGAGATTCATTAAGTCACTGAGTTGCGAACTTGTAGTGTGTTTACTACAGCCTGCAGAAAATACAAACATTTCATAACTCTAAACCTGTAGTGCCCCATTAAATATAAAACATCACCAAGCTGTTTATATGTGGAAAAACTTCAATAATAACAATAACAACTAAAAAAATTTGACTGGAACTTTTGCCACATTGTGTTAAACAAAACAGTCTCAAACTGCATCCGTTTCCTCTCCTCCCAGCCTTGGCCCCACTTCACTTCCCATTTGTTTCCCATCCCTCCTCACCTATTTCTCCCATTGAAATTTCTTCTTACCATAGCTGTATTAAAGTATTGCACACACAATTTGCGGCTAAATTTGGAAGTTAAGTAGAGATGTTTGATATAAATTTGGGAAGCAATGCTTTATTGCTACCCTAGAAAAAGGCAATTTCCAGTCTGGCTTTCTTCCTAAATAAAACTGTTTCACTGCCTCCAGACATGACGTGCGAATGATTTATTTCAGACTTTCCACAACCCCTCCCGTTCCTGATGGTGGCAACTGATTATCAAGGGCCATCCTGTAGCAGCTTTGCACATTAGCATGAGATGTTTAAGTAAATACAGACAAGGCTCCCTGCTTTACCAGAACCTGCGCATGAAATTCACGGGGTTGAAGCCAGCCAGGAGCAGGTAGGGCAGCCATTCCTTGTATTCCTTCTGCACCGTGCTGCTGTAGAGGATGAAGTCTGTTAATTCCTCCTCTGAGGGCAGGGAACAGCCGAACCTCAGGAAGCGCCGGAAGAGAGCAAACTTCTTATGGCACAGGCAGTGTGCCAAGTTGATCCCACGCAAGGTGATGCCATATTTCAGAAGGACATCAATGAACTGATAATACCTGTGAGAGGGAGAAGGAACAGGGCATCCCATGAGCTTTCCCTCAGAAAGCACCTACCACTTTGTGCATCGGTTATCAACAAAACATTCCAAAATGTTTTCATTAAAATCCTTTTATCATTACCCACTGCAACAAGGTCATAGGGTAAGGACTGAGACTATGACTGGTGCTGCCTTTCAGTGATTAGAGGGAAATTACTCCACAGAAGTGGCAACATGTGTCACCTGCCTCGGTCACAGAGCAATTGCCTGCTCTGCACATTATTTATTATAAAGCAACATCAGGAGAGAAAGGAAAAAATGGTGTCCAAGGATTTTTAAAGGCAGCTTCCTAGGAGCAGGCTATAAACTAAATTCACTACTAACAAACCTCATTAATTTAAATGGCAGCCATAAATAAATTATAAATATGCTATAAATAAATTTCAACCCATGTACAAAGAAATAATCTGTTAAAATCTGAGAAAATTCAAAAGCCATTTTTGAAGATTTTTTCCTTAGTGTAGCATGTGAGTCACATTCCAGGGCTTCACATTAATATTCCCAAGGAAACGGGAATAATGAGGAGTGTCTGCAAAGGCAGAACACACTAGAATTCTGGAAAAATATTAGATGACAGACAGCAGTTGAAGGAAGAAGGTGGGAAACTACATATTCAAAGTAAGTTAATTAAAAAGCAAATACGATTATGAATAATTTCAAAATAGAAGAAGTTTCCTTACTGCTTTTGGAAGATCATGCACATGGGGGACCTGCAGCCGAAGTCCAGGCACTCCTGAGCATCTGGGCTGAAGCCCTGCTTGAGCAGCATTTCCAGGCACTCCCTGTCCCCGCCATAGAGCGCGGAATACACAGGGCTCACTTTGCCCTCGCCCTTGTCACAAATCCGGTCAGTGACTGGAATCAGCAGCTCCAGTATCCTGGAGATGTTTAAAACCACTGTTTTCTGATCTTATTGCAATGATTAACCTTAAACACACAGCCATTTTTTCACAGGGTCATTACAGCTTTGGAAAAAAATAGTGTTTTTTCACTCTTGAATTAGCAGCTTTATAATTCCATACACAGACCCTTGGCAAACGTTGTGCTTTAGGATGGATTTGGGCTGAAAAGAAATATTTTAAACCAAACCAGGGACAGCTACTTCCTATTACCCAGAAACTCTTTTTACAGCAACAGAACACCAGTGCACATTAAATCCCAACTCCAAGGAAGTTTGGAAGCAAACTGTAAATGTGAGTTGCAAATGAAATGAATTCTTAGTTCAGTGAAACAGAAAGATCATTCTGTTTACAGCTCACATGCCAGGCCACATCACATTAGTGACAAACCAGTTCCTTTGCTGCTGGAACTTACTGGTGCTGCATGAGTTGCCAGTGATGTATCATTATTTATATATTTAAGTGCTGTCCATGTGAATCATGGAGTTCCTGAGAGATCCTTCTCCCCAGTGATCTACTCCCAAAACTTCCTTCCACTCTTGGCTCGCTGCTGTGGAACTGACTTGTATATCTGAAATTGGGCAAAGCTACAAATGCATCTTTGGAAAGATTAAAGAAACTGTCTTTGTGGCTTTGGTTTTTCTGGCATGTCCAGCCAATTCAATATTTGCATATAATTACTTCTGCTTCTTAATACAGGATTCTAATTAGCAGCTGTTCAAGTAATGTATAATGTACAACATGGTTATTTGCTTTTTTAAATGGAGAAGTAAAATAGCCATGGAGTGAGCTGATATCTGGTTTAGCACCATGGAAAACCCTCTGAATTCCTTAGGCTATGGCTCAAATCCAGGTCAGATGCTGAATTAAAAATCATATAATCATAGAATGGTTGGGGTTGGAAGGGACCTTCAAGGTGATGCAGTTCTACCCCCTGCAATGGGCAGGGACACTTGCACTATCTCAGGTTCCTCCAAGCTCCATGCAACCTGGCCTGGAACACTTCCAGGGATGGCACAGCCACAGCTGCTCTGGGCAACCTGTGCCAGGGCCTCACCACCCTCACAGGGAAGCATTTTTTCTTAATATTTCATCTAAACCTAGTCCTTGTCAGTGTGGAAAAAACCACTAAGGGACATTTAAAATACAAAAATAATCAGAACTTCTAAACTACAGATCAGTTTGAACACTCCATTTTCCTCCCTTTTAGGGTTGAACTTCCTCCTCTGGGGATCAGATTTGTGTGACCAGGGTCTTCTGTCTGAATGCCTCTGCAACCACCTACTTTGCATGGCCCATCTCAGCTGCTGCATGAATGGGTAACTGCCAGTTATCCTCGTTGCAGTAGAGGTTTGGGTCTGCCCCTGCAGTCAGCAGCAGCTTCACACAATCCAGGTGTCCCTCCTGTGCAGCAATCAGCAGGGGAGTAGCCCTGTCCTTGGCCTGGCAGTTGACATCTGCACCTGACACAAAACAAAACCAAAGTCACATCCATCAGGGTAGCTTCAAATTCAGCAAGTTTTCCTCAGCAATGAGGAAATAAAACAAATAACATTTGAAATGACAATGTGAAAGAGCAGAGCTACAACTGCATTAAGTGGGAGTTGTTGGAAGCGTGGCCAGGGAAATGAAGGATCGTGGTTACCGTGGGACAGAAGCAGCCGCAGACTCTCCAGCTGGCCATACTGAGCAGCCACAAACAGAGGGGTAATTCCAAAGTCATCACGACAGTCCTTGCTGGCCCCTTTCTCCAGGAGCATTTGCATTATCTCAGTGGAACTCTGAAATAAATGTTCTTATTCTCAACCAGCATGAAAATGAGGAAATTACACAACTGGTTTTTCCCCACATGCTCCAGATAGAAATAATAAAACCCACAATATATTCAATATTCTGAAGATGCACTTAAAAATTAATGGTAAAAGAAATTAGGCAAGGTCAAATTGATCACTTTTGCTCATTTACATGAAAAAGTCATTTGTATGTGTTAAAACCATTAAGCCAATATATTTTTAAGTACAAAGTTTTGACTGCTAGAGCAGGTTAGGAAAAATTACCTGACAAAAATGCAATAATTATTAAATAAATAATTATCCCCCAGAATACAACTGCTACACCAAAATTACATTATGCGCTCACAGGTTACCTGAAAGGAAGCTTGGTGCAAAGAATTCCATCCAGACCAAGAATGAGAACCTTCAATATTTGCTCCGTGTTGGAGCAGGAACTTGACAACCTCTGCATGTTTATTTTCAACAGCTTCCATAGAACAGTAATAAAAAAATCATATTAGTATTAATATTAAAAATAAATAATTTAAGTATTAAGATTTAAAAGCTCAAAAGGTCTCACTGCCAACTTCTTGAAACCATAATCACAATCCCTTTAGATTTGCCCATTATATACTTGCTTGCCTTTTATATTTAGATTCCCAAAACAGTGTTGGAGAATGGAAATAATGCTAAAATTCCCCCAAACTTGGAAAGACTTGGTAACAAAGCTAATATGGCAACACATGATGTCTGGGTAGAGAGGCAAGTAAACCAATAAGCATATTTAATCAGATTATTTAGACCCTCAGGATTCACCATAACAGAAGTTTTAAGCCTTGAATTAGTCAAACATAAGTCATAGAAAAAATGCTAAAACAATGGACCTTAACTATCAAACTAGGAATGACCAAAATAAGTCTTTTTACATAAGAATTAGAGAGGTATTACAAAAACCAAAAAGGCTTTGAAACAGATGTAATCCTGAACCTCCTGAAGTTTTTCTGTGCTTGATCAGTTTGCTTTTATAATTTTGTTTTAAAACACTCTCTGAAGCAGATTTACCCATAAACAAAAGGTTATTTCCAGACCCCCCTCCATCTCTCAGTCTAAAGCCCGGTATTTAGGGCTACAAAAAGATGCAACACGGCAAGCAAGTAAGAAACTCCAGTGAGTTTAAAGTCGGAGAAACTTGAGTTTTAATTGGTGAGTTCAAACTCTGGGATTTGAGAAAAGCTCGCATCACCCAGAAAGAGTGGAGTGGTGGCAGATTCGGTGTTGACATCATTGAGGTCAGCCCCAGCTTCCAGGAGAACCCGGAGACATTCCACAGAGCCATGACAGGCCGAGAGGTGCAGAGCACACATCCCTTCAAACGTCCTCGAGTGGATGTAGTCTTCGGCTGGAGCTGCAGAGGAGGATAATGAGGGGGAAAAAAAGGATATTCGGCAGTGAATTACAAAATATAATAATTTTAAGAAAATAACGGAGTTATTTGAGATATGTGGCCAATGGAACACCCATGAACATGCTGTTATCACCCCATGAATTGCAATGTGTCAACTTCTCCTTATTGTAAATGGGAAGCCACACAGAAAATCCCCAAAGAATAGGATAAATCTATGTAACTTGTATTTTCTATGACAGGGTAATTTAGCAGAAAACCACATTATTTCCCATTAGGTTTTCATTACCTGTATCAATGAGCAGCTTCAGGCACTCACTGGAATTGTGTGCTGCCGCTTCGTGGATGGGCAACCACCTCCTGTTATCCGGGACATCGATGCTGTATCCCCGATTAATCAATTCCCTCAGTATCTCAACATTTCCTTCTCTGGCCGCAAGGCCCACGGCCGAGCACCGGTCGGAATAGGCTTCCGTGAAATCCATCCCTGGCGTGGAACTCTGCAGGAGGAGGAAAGGATAGAGGAGGAGAAAAAAAGAAGATATGTCTTGGTACATTATAGGTATGAGGGTGATTTGTTTGTTTTGCAGAAGATTTGGTTTAGTTTGTAGGGAGACGGTGGCTTGGGGGGAGGTAGTTGTTGTGGTGGGTTGGGGAAGGTTGTTTGTGGCTTTTGAGGGGAGATGGTTGTGGGGTTTGAGATGAGGTGGTAGTGTTTGGAAGGTGTTTGGGGATTTAAGGGGAGGTTGAGTTGGAGGAGAGATGGTTGTTTATGGGGTTAAGGGGCGGTTCTCTGGGGGTTTCGAGGGCAGAGGTGGTTGGGGGTTTTGGGGCGAGTTGATTGGAAGGGTGTGGCTGGCTGCAGGACTGGGGGGCAAGGCAGGTGCTTGGGGGAGATTGTGGGTTTGGGATGTGTTCGCCGGTGGGTTTCGGGGGAGGCAGTCGATTGCGGGGCTGGGGGAGGCTGTGCGGGCCGATGAACGGCTCCCTGCGAGCCGCCCCGGAGCCGGACCCTGCCGGGCTCCCCGGCCGGACCGGGGCGCGGCCGCCGCCTTCGCCCGGGGCCGCCCCGCGGCTCTGCGCAGGCCCCGCCGGGCCGGGCCGCCATGTGGGTGTTCGGCTACGGCTCCCTCATCTGGAAGGTGGATTTCCCCTACCAGGAGAAGCTGGTGGGGCGCGTCCGCGGCTACAGCCGGCGCTTCTGGCAGGGCAGCACCGACCACCGCGGGGTGCCGGGCAAGGTGAGCCGGGGCCGGGGGGAGCGCGGCCGCCGCGCTGGGCTCGGCCCTGCCCCGCGGCCGGAGCCGCCCGCAGGGGCTGCCGAGAAACCCACGAGCGACACAGCAGCGCTCAGAAATGCCCACACTGGCCATTTAGGGCGTTAAATACCCTCGCTGAGGGGCGGGTGTCAGGCTGTGCACAGGGAATAGGAAAAGCCAGAATTATTGATCCAAGTAACTCCCGGATGTATTTTAACTTACTTAAATTTCAGGTGAAAATTCATGGATTAGGAAATAGTTGAAGTTCTAAAATTCTTCGCCGTTTGGAAAAGGAGGGAAAAAAAAACAGCGAGAAAAAGAAACTTAAAATTTCAAGTGAGCCTTCCCAGTGTCATGTGTTTTTAAGCCATGGGGGTGAGGACACGGTATTATAACCTGGACCCAGATAACTCCACTGTAAACCTGAAGTGGCTTTGAGAGAGAAAAAGCATCAGGATTATTTTAAAGAACACATCTTGCTTCGTGGAAAGTTCCATCCAGATGTAAACAACACTTGCTAGAACCTCAAACACCATAAAATAACTTGCACAGAGCTCAAAGAACACAGCTTGAGCCACCACTGACATACATAAAAGAACAGCAAGGAGGAAAAATCATTTCTTACAAATATACAGCAAATTACTTGTTAGCTGCATTTAAAAAATATTTTCAGAGGATTATTACCAGTACAAACAGTAATTAATGCCTCTGATCAATAAGTATTTAGTAATTTGTTTCTTAATGTTTGTTTTGGATAGTTCCAGGCAAGACAAGAACTCTGCAAGCAATTAACTAAGTATCTTGCCCTTCCTTAGGCAAACAGATCCTTCTTCCATCACACAACCCACCTGAACATGAAGTTTTCCTCAGTACTGCCCTTCATATTAAATTGAATTAGATTTAAATGAAAGATAATGAATTTAGGCTACAGTTACAGACATTCCTAGCAAGAACAAGAAAGCTGATTTCCATCCACCACAAATGTCTCTTTAATCCATAATTCACAATAATCTTTGTGACCCATTACAACTGCACAAGTCACAGAACTATCAATAATTATGGAAAAAAACATTCCAAAAGGAACACCAAAGTTATCTTTGAGTATCAAAGTTATCTTTGGTGTATCATGGGAACAGACTCATTTCTCCTCAGGAAATAGGAGTCATTTAGTGTTCATTTAGCTTTATTACCTTATTTTATCAGTCAGATCAGGAATAAATTGCTCATGCTGGGAGAGAACTAATTTAATGCCAAAAGCAGCAGTTTTAAAATGCAGATGTAGTTCAACATAGGGTTTTATGTTTTTAAGTTTTATACAACAAAATTCAACTATATTATTTTCAGTATTTACAAACTGGCTTCTTACTTTTTCCTACAATAATTAACTTACTGGGGAAAACAAGCCATTTGGAAGGTATAAGGTATCCTCTCTCCATCCAGTGAGGCTCCAAGGGCTCCTTGAGGATAGTTTTACATTAATGAAACTCTTAATTATAACTGTTATTGTGCTGTTAATTAATTGTCACTGTTTAAATTGCATTAGAATTGAGTCTGGACAGCACAAGTAATGCAAGAACATTCAAACCCTTCCAATTTCTGACTGCCTTTAATTTTTGTGTCACAGGCACTGTCCACCCAGAATTTAACATGTTGTTTATTTTATCTAATACACATCAAAAGCTACTCTCTGAAAATACTTACACTGGATCTGGACATTACTGGAATTGTGCTGGATTAGTTCTCTGAGCATTTCATTCCTGCTCCTTGTTTTTTCTCTCGTTTTGATTTGGTTTTGCTCATGATTTAGGGCAAAAGCCTTTGACCGAATGATAATTTTGTCTTTTAAATTTTAGCCTGGAAGAGTTGTGACCCTGGTTGAAGATGCTGAGGTACAGTACTGTTGTACAGAATGTCCTGTTGCATTTCCACTCACTAATTTTTGCTTTTTTACAAGCAGATAACTATCTTATCTTTAGGGAAAAGTTCTCTCAGTGTTTCCCAGAGTTACACCAATGGCTCTTGATTGTTTCAAATAATCAATTTAAACTGGAAGTAGTTTGGGTCTGTTATTACCACAGGGATATTTTAAAGTATATTCTGGAATAGTCACTTTGGCTATCCAGTTGTGAGATGTAGAATTTGACAGAAAGATATATAAAACATACATGATTTGATATCAACATTGAATGATAAATGTAATTGTTTTCATTTTAGCTTCACGAGGTTTGACCAGATTGTGAAACTATCTCAGCACACCACACCAGTTCAGATGTGTAACAGGTGTAGGTGACCCTCAGGTCCTTGCCCAAACTGTTGCTAAACAGAAGGGACCTGATCAAATTCAGCATAATTTGTAATTTTCAGGCATAAATTTTATGAGGTCAGGGAGAAACTCTGTGTCCTTTTTGCCAGCTCCTTAGTGGCCTGTACCAAGGCTATTTACTACTCCAAATATTAACAAAACAAGGAATTGCTCTGTTAGGAAAACCTCAGCATTAACAGAAAAAGGATGATCAATCTGTGTGATCAGTGTTTTCACTGATAATTGCCTGAATAAAGCAGCCCTTTTACTTTGGGATTCTTACAAAGACCGCAAAAAGCGGCAGAAAGGCAGAAAGTCAGTTTACTGAAAGGTTTGCCTAAATGCAGTGCTTTCTGAGTATCCTCTGACCAACTCTCCTCGGCCAGGGGTGTGTGTGGGGCGTTGCCTACAGATTACCAGCTGGGAAGGAAGGAGAAGTGAAGGCCTACCTGGATTTCCGGGAGAAGGGCGGCTACAGGACCACCACGGTCATCTTCTACCCGAAGGACACGTCGGTGCAGCCCTTCGACGTGCTGCTGTACATCGGCACCCACGACAACCCCAACTACCTGGGCCCCGCGCCGCTCGAGGACATCGCGCGCCAGATCCTGGGCGCCGCTGGGCCTAGCGGCAGGAACACGGAATACCTGTTTGAGCTGGCCAACTCCATCAGGAACCTCGTGCCAGAGGATGTGGATGAGCACCTCTTCTCCTTAGAGACACTGGTCAAGGAGCTCTTGAACAAGCACCAAAATCTCAACTGTCTATAAAGTAACCTCTTAACAGCCTGGTTCTGTCTTCAGAGGAGGGGTTTTGTCAGGTGTGGGTGTGTGGCAGGGAGGAATGTTTCTCTGTATTGTGCTATCCTAACTAATACTGCATATCTTAATTAATGCTGCATTCAGAATAGGAGTTGGTTACTTAAAACAAAACTGCCAAAATCATTCTTTAGAAGTCCAGAGAAAGGCGAGCAACGAAAGTGTTCTAAGTTTGAATTTGGTATCTCCGCTTTTCACCCGAAGATGACACCTCAAGACAACCACCTAAACTTCTCTTTATGTTCTATTATTATTTCAGGTTTAAAATAAATCTTTAGAATATTTTTGAGGTCAAAATCAGCATGCAGAGACAAGTTCCCTAGAATTAAGTAATCATTTGTTCTGATCCCAGACCACAGTGCAGGAATTTTAAGTGGTTGGCCTAAATTTTATAGTAGAACATTTAAATCAACATTCAACTCCTCTGAAACAAAGTTACACCACTAAATTAGTAATCTCATCCTTTATATGTCAATTTATCCTTAAATCCAGAGGATAAAACATTTTATTGTAAAGGAAGTAATTCCTTCCCTTGGCTGCTGATTGTCAAGCCCTGAAAACCAAAGCTCTGTGCACTCTTGACTCAAACAAGCCATAACCTATCAGTGCCTCATTTTAATTTTTAATCCTAATATAAAAAATTAACCCCAAAATATTACAGTTAACTAAGAGCATGACTTTAAGTCACAACACAGCAAGAAGAGAAACTCCCATCTTTGTTACTTCAGCTGCTGTTATGGCCCCCATCTCTTTGAAACTCCCAGCTGCAAGGATAGATTTTAGTTTCAGGGATTCACCAACAAAAGGTAATGAAGGAAGGAACCCTCTCTCTGGTAACCTTAGGGGTGCATATAGACGTCCCAAAGAGTTGGGAGGCCCCCACTTTAGGCTGGTAGGCTTCCTGATGCAATCCGTCTCAACATGGACTTGTCTTGCTCCTCAAAACTCTTTATTTTTATTAATTTTAAACTGAGTGTATTTTTATATCTTAATATAAAAAGTCCTGTTTCAAACACCACGCAACATCCTGTTTTCCCATCCAGGGAATGTGTGTTTAGTAGCAGCCTGGAAGCCTGGATTTTGCATCAGTAATTGCAAAAAAAGTGTGGTTTTCCGCTGAAAATGTTGACCCTTTCTCTTCTTTACATCTTCCTGGTTTATATTTGTAAAGGTAAAAGTGTGCAATGGCACTCTCTTTCTTGAAAATTCTTTCTAGATTTAAAAATTCTTTCCTCACTTATCCTTGTTCCTTAAAACAGGGCAGGGGATGCTTGTGCTCAGTAAGGATCCAATACCATCAGGGCCGATTCCCCCCTTAAAATGCTAATTATTTAAGTACTGTGATTCTGTGTAGCTCCACACTCTCTTATCTTTGTCTCCAAGGCTTTGTTGGTTCATTTACTTCCCAAATGCATAAACCATTGCAATAGTACACATCCCTGTGTACGACTTCAGTGCAATAAAAATGCATTACAGTGACTAATGGGGTTGGAAATTTCTCGAAATATTACATTTAAAGCGTGTCTGTGTGAGGATGGACATCAAGGTGTGTGTCCGTTGTGTCGCGCTGTAAAATCGCTGCTGGGGCTGACAATGACAAACCACACATAGGGGTACTATAAACTGTGGCACATTAGGAATTAATTAAAGCATGAAAAATATAAGTAGATACATTTGTTCTTGCTGTGTGGGATTAAAGCCACTGCTCTGCCCCCAGCTTTGGTCTCTACCAAAAGCCTCCCAGATCTGTTGCCTCAAAAATTTTAGGCCACTTAGGCTTCATTTTTTTTCTGACTGGTTAAACTCAATCTCTGTTGATGAAAATACAGATTTTAGATCTGTAGGCTTCACTACACAACCACGCACACAAAGCCACTGCTAAACCTGTTCTCAGTGTTTAGGGAAACACGGGCACATCCATGACTATTTTCAGAAAATAGTGCAGAGAGGAGGGAGAGGGAAATCCAAACACAAGGGTTGGAGTCCATTATCTCCAAGGTATTTTCCAACCAGAAAAACTCCAAGGCTCGGTAATAAGGGGATTCTCTGTAGCGTGGCCAATTAATTTCCTGTCTTTCCTTAAATGATCTGCTCCATGTTTCCCATGGATCAGATGGGACTGGCCTAACCTGCTCTGATGTGAAGACTGCTGGCCCCCTTGGATTCTCATGTGTATAGATGTACACACACAGGTGTATAGAGAGAGCCCTCGAAGCGCTCTTGTACACTCAATCTCATACCTGTCGGTTATGCTTAACCCCTAGTGCTCACACTGATGACCAAAGTTGATTCCCTCCTCTTAGTCGCCCCCATTTTACCCCTCCCTCACTCATTCCCTCGCTCACACTTCCAACTCCCACTTCTCCCTCCCACTCCTCGTTCAGACCCCTCACTCGCTCCCACCGCTCCCCGCGGTCCTTCGCCCGCTGGGTGCGCGCCCGGCCCTCACCTGCGGCGCGGCGCTGTCCCGGATGCCGCGGCCGCGGCGGCGCTGCCCCGGTTGTTGATCGCGGCTGCCGGAAGCCGACGTGGCGGCGGCGCGGCGCGGCCTCGGCGGAGCCGCCGGCCGGCATGAGGGGCTGCGGGCTGCGGCCGCCCTGCCCGGCCCCGGCGCTGCTCTGCGGGCTCCTGGCGGCCGTGGCCGCCGCGGCCGAGGGCGGCCGAGCGCTGCCGCAGCTCAGCGACGACATCCCGTTCAGGGTGAACTGGCCTGGCACCGAGCTCAGCCTGGTCGGTACCGCCGGTCAGAGCGGAGGGTGGCTCTGAGCCCCTGGCCGCACTGGGGGCCTGGGCGGGCTGGCCCGCCGCCGGAGGGAGCCGGCAGCTGCAGGGAATCCCGGGGAGCCTGTGCCCAAAGTGGCCTGGAGAGAGCTGGGAGGGAGGGTGGCTGGGGCTGTAATAAGGGGTGACATGGGCGAGCGGGAGTCAGGGAGTATGGAGAGGATTGGGGATATGGCTGGAAGCAGAAGGTCCAAAGCGAACCACCAACCCGCAATCTTGTGGTATAATTAAATCCCAGGAAATACTCTGGAGCACCACGCAGGAATTCAGGGGTATTTCTAATGAGTAGCATTAAAAAGGCCCTGCCTGGCTGATCCATGGGTTGGTTGTTTTCTCAGCCGACCACTGGTGTCTTGTACAAGGAGGACAATTATATCATCATGACCACTGTGGATAAAGAGAAGTACAAGTGTCTCCTGCCATTGATAGCCAGTGGCAATGAGGTGAGTTCAGGCGAGTTATTCTGTAAATATAAACTGTAGCTGAGTCTTTACATTAGCAGCTTTAATATCATGAAATATCCTTTTGTTGCAGGAAGAAGAAAAAGACTATAAAGGTCCTACTCCAGGGGAGCTGCTGGAGCCTCTCTTTAAGCAAAGCAGCTGTTCCTATAGAGTATGTTACTTCTGTCTTGTTCATTAAATGCTGATTTCAAGGTTACAGGCCAGTCCATGTCAAGTTTTAGGGTAGTAAAGGAGATACCGATACAGTCTGAAACAAGGTCTTTACAACTTATATGCCTTAGTATTGCTGACAAAATTCTGTGTGATTAAAGTTGTCAGAATTCAGATAAATGGGTTGCTATGGTAGCAGTTAAAAATGGATTTTTAAAAAATTTACTTCCTTTGTTTTATTTGTGTGAAAGTCAAGAAAGTTTGCTCTGGTTTTTGAGCAACACTGAGACCACTCACTGTGCTCTTGTTTTTGAGGGTACTCCAACATTTTGCTGCAAAAGCCAGCATTTGGGTGGGTTTTGTGGTGTGTAAATACATCTAAAGATAATTTTTAAAATTTATTTTATTTCTAAGATTGAATCTTACTGGACTTACGAGGTCTGCCACGGGAAGCACATCCGTCAGTACCATGAGGAGAAAGAAACAGGGCAGGTAGGCTGCTCACAAACCCTTTCCCCACTGGCACGTTCCTGCTGAACTCCTCCAGCAGACTTGAATTGTTGTAATAATTTAGCCATGACTGTTTTCTTCATGCAGAAAAGCTGCATCTTTATTGCACAGGACATATTTTATAGCATTATCACAAGGCACTGTGTCATATCTTACTGGTTGACAATACACTTACACTTAGTTCATTGTTTGATACATGGTATTTTGCATGTCTATTAAACTTCTGCATTTTTAGTTAGTTTACATACTTTTTTACTGATTCTTATGAGACAGAGCTCTTGTTATTTCAGATTTCACTTGTTCTTCACCCTAGGAACAGATTGTTGTGTTAATGAACTCTCATTCCCAAAATGTTTTCATATGGGAACTGCAAGCTATCTGCACTTAGAAGTGACAGACTAGCTTTGGCACTTCAGCAGAGCAAGGCCTGATTTCATAAGACCTTTATTTTATAACTTTTTTTATCTATTTGCAACATTGAATTCCCTGAAAAAGCTTGGGAAGTGGTAACTGATGTTTGTTTTGATTGTAGAAAATAAACATCCAAGAGTACTACCTGGGGAATATGATAATGAAGAACCCGTTGTTAGAACCAGGTGTGTTTTAGATTATTTCATTCTGCTGATAATGAATTTTTTGGGTTTTAATTATTCCTGTCTGTCTAGTTTGAGAGCCTTTTGTTAGGGAACCTGCCACAGATCATCAGAAATATTCAAGTGTCTAGAGTGGGACTTGGGTGGAAATGAGGGCGCTGAGCCCCAAACTCAAGGAGCCGTTTAGTATAACTGACTTTTGGAGCATTTTTTGCCTGCAAATTAGTTCAAAGAAGTCTTCCAAACCTACAGACTAAGTATTCATTCAGGGTTGGTGGAAAGAATAGAAATAGAATAGAAAAACATCCCCTAGGATGGGGTGTTTGTTTCATTCTGGGCTAGTGTGCAAAAGGCAGACACCATTGTTTTCCTAGAAGTGGTGAACTGGAATGCTGCAGTTTTTTGGGGGGATTTAGTGCTGTTCATCCCACTTCTGGATCTCTGTCTGCAGTGCTGAGTTAGGGATCTTAGTCCTGGAAAGATCCAGGGCTTCAGAACATGCCTTGTTTGGCCTTTCTGGGTGTGTGGGTGCAGTGCCAGTGCAGAGGTGCCTCGTTCTGCTGCTGCATAGAGCACAGAATGCTTGATTCGAGTCACCCATTTTGTGGAGCTGGATGTTGAAGCGTGATGGGACCTCAGATCACCATAGCCGAGGCTGCCAGGCTGTTGTCCCTCTGCCCTTCCTGCTCAGGTGGCAGATTGTGTCCTGTGTCCTTTCCCTGCTTCTGTCTGGCAGCTCCTTCTCCTTCCAAAGCACCTGCCTGTTTCCTGTCCAATTCCCACCCTTCCCAAACAGCTGCAGTGACGTGTTCTCCAGCCCTGCCTTGGTGTCGGGGCTGGATTTGGCCTGTCCTACCAACTCCAGGTGGTTTTGTGATGAACTGACGTGTATTTTGCTCTGTTTGCTGTGGGCCTCAGATCACTGGTTGTTTCCTTTCTTTCCTATTTTGTACCTGCAAGTGGCTCTTGGCAGTGTATAAAGCACCAGCAAATACACAAACAAGAAAAGCTTTTCTGTGAAATTCCTTTTTTTTTTCAAGTGCACAAACTTACCTCGTTCTTAATTATTCCCTAGATCAAGAAGAGAAGGAAAATTCCAAAGACGGTGCAAAAGAGGCAAGTGAAAAATATCTATTTTAATTTCTGCCATCAATAGTGGAGGCAATTTATAAATGATCATAGAATCTGAGAATGGTTTGTGTTGAAGGGGACCTCAAAGATATCAAATGCCACCTGCCATGGGCAAGGATACCTTCCACTATCCCAGGTTGCTCTAAGCCTCATTCAGCCTGGCCTTGGACACTTCCAGGGATCCAGGGGCAGCCACAGCTTCTCCGGGCATCCTGTGCCAGGGCCTCCCCACCCTCACAGGGAGGAATTTCTTCCTAATATCCAATCTAATGATAAGATGATGTAATTAGTCCACTCCCAAAATGAATATCAATAAATGGAACTGTTCCTGAAACGCACTTCTCTTGCTTTTAATTATCAGTCCTAGCTCAGAAAATTTATTTAGTCTTGCTGCTCAAATTACTTACTTACTGTTATCAAAGCCTTGCAGCACAAAATCCCTAAGATATGGAGCTGACTTGCTGACCCATCCCATGATACTCTGTGCTTCCCTTTCCCCTTAGAGGACTTCTCCACTTGTTTAGGCCCCAAAACTCAACTCTTGAGTTGCTGATTCTATAGCAGAGCAATGGCAGTACCTGAAGCACGCTGGAATTAGTGAGAGCAGGTTGACCTTGTTGCCAGTTCCCCTTAATTTTCGTGCTGAAGTCTTTGTGACCTTTGGAATGGCCCAGGGTGGTGGTTGTGTAGTGTTCTCAGCAGTACCCAGGCCTGAGGAGCATTTTGAAAGTCATGTCGGGGCAGAACATGGTCTGTTCTGGTGGCAGTGGCAGCTGTGCCTCTTGGAAAGGCAAGAAAACAAAGCGCTTTGCAGTGCAGCTTCATTTCCTTTAACTTCAGAGGAAATTAAGTCTTTTATTGTGTTTTTCTTGGGCAGTGTTTATGATGCACTTGCCATGTCAGGATTTCCTGGAATCTCTTATCAGGAAAGGGCGTGTTGATTTTTTAATCTCATTAATGTCTTCACTCGTGGTGGAGAGGTTTCTGGGAGGAGTCAGTGGCTTGGGACAGGGTGATGTGACTTGAAAGCCAAAGCAGGTGAGGGGCAGAAAGGTCCTGGATCCCTGGAGTGTCCTGACCCCAGAAAACACCTCTGTCTTTTAGCACAGACTCCTCTCTGTTCAGCACTGAAAACCTTCAGCAGCTCAAGCAACATGGGTAAAAAAAGAGTCAGTTTGTGGGTTTGGGCACTTTGGGAAGCCAGGAGCTCTGGCTGCTTCCAGGATAGAGAGTTCACCATTTTAGGGAATTAATATCTTAAAGAGGGAGCTGGATGAAACACAAAGGAACAAGCCTGAAGGAAGCAGACTGGAAAGTGTGACAAAATGGGATTTACATTGTATATACCAGTAACTTTTTTAGCCACAGTCAAGGGTGATGTGGGGATCCTTTGGTTAAGGAGCAGCCTGGGTTGGGAATACTGAAAGGTGTAGTGCAGGTGCCAGGGTGACTTTGCAGGGTTTTTTTGGATTCTTTAGGACCTGGTGCTGCAGGTGACGAGCCTGGCAGACCCAGTCTGGGTGAACACCAGGACAGGTCTGGATGTTGCAGAAACCCTGAGCCACACAGGGTCTGATTTAAACCTGGTAATGTTGGCTCTGCACACAGGAATAACATTTTTTGTTTCAGAGGAGTCTTGGGAGCTGTGGGTATGACCTGTTCCTTTCCCTCACCTAGATCCCCACAAAAAACATCGAAGGGCAGATGACGCCCTACTACCCTGTGGAGCTGGGCAATGGCACTCCCTGCAGCCTGAGGCAGAACCTGCCCAGGTCCAGCACAGTGATGTACATCTGCCACCCTGAGGCCAAGCATGAGATCCTCTCTGTAGCAGAAGTCACCACCTGTGAGTACGAGGT